TTTTTTTTTTCTTGCAACATCGAAGCGGGTGCGCCAGGCAAACAGGAGAGAATTTGTCCCGACGACAGTACACAAATAAGCAAATAAGTGAGGTGCAGAAGAAAATGAAGAACCAAAGAGCGCCCCAAGACAACAAAAAGAAAACTCAACTCTGCCCACGCCCATGCTGGAACTTCACTCAACAGTACAGTAATAGTGTCGATCCATTTCGTTCTTTGTTGGCCCCGTAAGCGTGGGCGCTACACCATAAATCGAACACAACCTCATTAGTGCCGGTACCGGCACTAATGAGGGATTGGCCAGCCCTCAATAGTTCCGTTTTGGCACTATTCGCAATAGTGCCGGGTGCCCGATTCGGTGAACGCTCTGTGCACGTCCCGGCACTAAAAGGGTCCCTCGACTGTACTCATAATCTCACAGTTTTTGGTGTGCCCTCAACACACACCTACCTACACACACATCAGGCAGGAGGGGTAGGCCGTGGCAGACGTCAATCTACCGGTTTGAGGCCTTTCCCATTTTTTTTTTGTTTTTCGGGGCTCTCGAGGCGTTAAATTTATTAAGAACCGCGTGAAACCGTCGGGGGGTTTTTTTCGGTGAACACCGCACTATTCTTGTCGACTTTCGGTAGCCCAAACCTACAGCGGACGGCCTCCACGTGGGCAACTGCCTATGTCAGCGAACGAGAGCGCTGCCGGTGCTGTTGCTGGCATCGATGGTGCTTTTGGTGCTGCTGGTGCTTCTGCTGGTTCTGCGGGTAATCATGGCACACGTTCTCGTGCTACTTCAGGAGGTACCGCCGCACAAACTGGTGCTCCTGCTGGTGGTGCTGGTAGTCGAGAGGTCAAAACGAGGAAGAACCTCACCAAAGACGAGCCAAGAGCCGCTCTCGATGACCTCTTAGCCCGCAGCGACGAAGGTGTGCTCCACAAGAAAGCGTGCGAGGTTGTAGCAGAGAAGTATGGATGCTCGCGAAAACCTATCGCAACTCTGTGGAAAAATTACCAACAGAAGAAGGCCGCTGGCGAAAGCATCCCGTGGAATTTGCGAGTGCCTCCAACAACAGCGGGCGGGGTCGTCCAGCGCCTCGCCCATCTCAGCCGGTCAATCTTGCCAGCGTTGGTGAGAAGCGGCTTCAAGAAACGCGTGTGTGGCTTCACCCCAGGAGCTTTCATGTGACGAGCAAAAGTTGGTTTTCTCATGCCAATAGCGGCAGCTAAATGCTCTGTTGTGTCGGACACAACAGAGCAGGCATAGCTGCCGCTATTGGCATGAGGAAAACAACTTTAGCTCGTCACATGAAAGCTCTTGGGGCGAAGCCACACAAGCGTTGACACAACAGAGCATAGCTGCCGCTATTGGCATGAGAAAACCAACTTTTGCTCGTCACATGAAAGCTCTTGGGGTGAAGCCACACAAGCGTTTCTTGAAGCCGCGTCTCACCAACGCTGGCAAGATTGACCGGCTGAGGTGGGCGAGGCGCTGGACGACCCCGCCTGCTGGTGGAGGCACTCGCAAATTCCACGCGATGGGAAGCATGGTGCATGTAGACGAAAAGTGGTTCTATGTTTGCGAAGACAAGCAGAAGTACTATTTGTTCGACGACGAGAACCCGCCGAGTCGCAGAGTTCAGCACAAGAGTCACATCACAAAGGTGATGTTCCTGGGAGCGGTTGCTCGGCCAAGGCGAAACACCACATTAAACTCTCAGTTTAGCGGGAAAATCGGAATTTATCCCTTCACGGAGCGAGTGCGAGCCCAGCGAAGCAGCAGGAACAGGTCTGCCGGCGCAATGGTCACCAAGACAGTGGAGGTTACCAAGGAGAGCTACAAGAAGATGATGCTCGACCACGTCATCCCCGACATCAAGAGGCTGTTCCCCCGCCCTCCCGCCGGCGCTAGCGTGGAAGACAGGATAGTATAGGTGAAACGGGACAACGCCCGCCCCCACCTGATCAACAGTGACCCAGACATTTCGGCGGCAATGTCGGCAGACGGGTGGGACATCCAACTGATCAACCAGCCCGCCAACAGCCCCGACAAAAACGTGCTCGACTTGGGATTCTTCAACTCCATCCAGTCCCTGCAGGACCGCACAACCCCGACAAGCATTGACGACCTCGTCGGGGCAGAGAAGGATGCGTGGAACGAGGACCCGCCGGTCGTGCTGAACAGGGTATGGCTGAGCCTGCAACCGTGCCTGGAACAGATAATGCTTGCGGGATGAGAGAATGACTAAACGTTGCCGCACATGCGCAAGAGCCGACTTGAGAACGCCGGCACGCTGCCGTGGCAGAAGGAATGCACGGAGGAGGCATGGAACAAGGAAGGGCAGCTCGGCATTGACGGAGTTGGAAGCAGCCGGGGCTGGGGTTGGAGGGGGGGGCGCTGGAGCGGCGGCGGGGGGAGGAGCGGCGGGGGGGGGGGGGGNGCCAGCTCAAGACACACGAGCTTCTTCAGTAGAAATAGAAGTAGAAGTACTCGTCTCGACGTGCAGCAAATAGCGTCTAGATACTTCGAGCTTGTTCGTGATCGATCCATGAATGACCTGTTGGATTAGGTATCTACTGTTTGACATTCTTCTTGCAGTAACCACGCAGGCCATTTGTGTTTGTACTGTCATTGTTTCGGTGACAGAGGTGCGAGGTTGCCGTGTTCACTGCTGTTACATCGAGTACTTTGTTTTGTACTTCGAGTATCTGTACTGCAGTGTCGTTGGTGTTGTTCTCTTCGATGGAGTGCTGTTAATAACAATTACCTTTTTCTTCGAAGTTCGTGGAAATTCAACTGCTGTTGATTGTTTTCCTTCCTGTTTCTCCGGGTCTGGCCCCAACACACTTGCTTCGCACCTGCTGTGTTGCTGATAGCGCAGCAGTATGCGGCGAGGAAGTTGCGCAAAACTCACAGAAAATTTGCTGCGAACACAGGCTGAAGCCATTGCGCCAATCTACGCGCCATAATTGGGTAGAGAGGCAAGCTTACCGATGTTTGGTGCCTCTACTTGCACAGGTAACCCTAAACATGCCCAATTTGGCGTAAAAATCAATCCCCGGGGACAGCGTATGAGCCATCCCCGGGGAACTAATCGACTTTTTTTATCGCACGTGAGGCCAACCATGTAGGAATACACTGTTGGTCGATAATATGTGCCCAGTCCCTCCATGTTGGTGATTTCCGGGCTTCTACATCCCTACAGTCCGAAAAATAAGCTCTCAGACCGGAATATAGGCACATTTGACCCGGAAAAAAACACGGGGACGCAATATATCGTCCCCGGGGTCAAATTCGATTTTTTTTTCTGTGACATGATCCCAGACATACAGAACACCACCAGGTGGTAATTGGGGCTTGGAACAACCATTTAGGGTACCCTACTGGACTCTCCCTTCTTCCCCTCGCTCCTCGACAAGCTTTTACTTAGACATGGGTTGTAGTGAAGGGGGGGGTCTTTCTGGCGAGCAGGGCTAGACCTACCCTCAAGGGATGACCGAAACCTTCTTGCTGCTGCGCATATCCGCCGCGAGGCATGCGCGTGGTGGTGTAGTTGGGTCGGCACTGATGGGGTCAGGCGAAAAAATGTAGATGCGCGGGCCTCTGGCCGTCGGCGTAGGCAGCGATGCCCATCTCATTTTTTGTGCGCGGAGGCAGACACCGTCAGAAGGTGGACGGGAACTATGTACACGGCCCTAGGTTGGCTAGAGGGCGCTGCATTGCCTCAGTAACCTGGCTTCGCCATCAAAGGAGGAGGGAGCAGGTGGCGACGAGCTGAACTGGGCTGGTTGACCCCTTCGGCGCGAGAATTTTTATTTTTCAGACCAAGAACCTTGAGTGCAACGAGGGAGAAAGCGAGGAACCGACTGGGAAGGACAGCAACGAGAGCGTGTACGGACGGAGCAGGTCGAGTGGCGTTATGCTCGGGCTGACTACAGCGGCGCCGGACGGAGCAGCGGCACCGGAGCATGCGGGCGACATCGACCCGTGGCGCACGGACAAACATTTCTATCTGTGTTGTCAATTTTTTTCGTTTTTTTTCTGACTTTCCGTGTTGGTTTTGTGTGATGACGTCGTCACCGGTTGTAGGGAGACCCGCCAGAGATGGCGTGGCTAACCCGGGTGCATTGGCTTTGTGCCTGATCGTGGAAGACCCCTTCAATGTGGAACGATTCTTAGCTATTGTCGATATTTTCACTGCGTGCCTAACACAGACGATCGGGAGAGGTTCGGGTGATTGTCCATTGCAATCATGGCTTTGGTTGGTTGTTCTTTTTCACTGTACGTCCGCAGACACATTCTGACAGCACTTCAGACAGCAGCTTTGTGCCCCGCCAGCTGCTTGTTCCATGCCTGCCATGGTGTTTTTGTACAGACAGCACTTCAGACAGCAGTATGCTGTAGTCGGCAATCTTCCGTTTTGGTATAGAGTGGGACAGGGAGGGGGTGATGCTACTGTAGTCGAACGGTGGGACGGACGTGCAGTTCAGTTTTTGGGCACGCATACGGTGCTGCAGGGATTTTTGGTGTACCTCTTCGGCCTCTTGGATACATTTTTCTCGTTTTATGTGTGCGTGTTCTTTAGATCCTCAGATGGCTCTAGCACTTTCGTGACCACGGGCTGAGAGTCTTTTGCTAGATTTTGGCATTCGGCAACTGACATACGGTTTAATGTGAAGACAACAACAACAACAACAACTGGAAATGTGCCTATATTGTGGTTTTTCAAAATGCGCCTATAATCCGGAGCACCAGACAGAGGAAGTATAGTCTAGTGCCGGTTGAATAGTGCCACAGCAGTCCGGTACATATTGTGCCGATAATTTTTCTTGATACAGACACATGCATACCTGCATAAAGTGTTAATTTTCAAGGACCCGATTTTGGTTGTCCCTCCATAACTTTTGACTGAGAGCGAGTAAAAGAAAAAGAAAAACAGCTTCGGAACGCCCGCGGCAAGGCGCAAAAGCGTAGCGAGTCGCCAAAAGAGGGAAAAAAAGAAAAAAAGATGCTCGCGGCGTGTCTCGAACCCACGAAATTGGCCCTAGAGCAACTTTTCCCCCATATATGTTGCTAATCCATTTTTTTTTTTTCGCACCAAACCACCCACACGTGCACAGGAACGCCCTCAAACACTATGCAAATGCCTCTACCGCACCTACAGCGTACATATATCACAAAAATTGGCCGTTTTCAACAAAAATGTTCCATTTTTGTACAACATTCCCACCAGAAACACGGAAAAAAACTGCACAAATACAGCTCAATGAACAAGAATGCGCCATCGACTCGACGGCCTCCATTCCTTCGGGGTCGGGCGCCTGTGCGACTTGTACTTCTTGTACGCCTTCTCTGGTCTAAAACTCAGCGGCACGTTCTTGCGCAAGCATTCCAACGAATATTTGCAGTTCTTTCGAGTCCAGTCCTTAGCTCGGCCCCAAACAGGCTCGATGGGGTTACACTCGCAGTGGTACTTAGGAAGCATGAGACAGGCCCCCCCGTGGCGCTGCATCAACAGCACCAGACTAGAATCAACTTCCTTGAAGTCCTTCTGCTCTCCCAAAACGTGCTCCATGCTCTTGCTGAGGTCCTGCTTTTCGCCCGAGCCCCTCGTCTTACTCATGCCTTTGACCAGGAGCCCCCTCTCCCACAAAATCTGCCGCATTCCTTTCAACTTTCCGACATATTGCGCCGGCTTGAGATGCGGGGAGTGGAAGGGGGGATCGTCCCCCCTCCGAAACACCAAGTGCTGTACCGTGCCGGCTGGGAGGTTCGGGGTATCTTCGAGGATGGTCACGGGGTCCATCGGCGCAAGCTCTTCTCCGTTCCTCACACCACCGACACCCAAGTTCATTCTCTTCACCGACGGTGCGCCGACCTTCATGCAGTCATGACAGGGCGACCAGTCGAACAGGCCTACAGGCTTGTGTTCAGGGTAGAGAACTGTGAACATGTCGCACGTCTGACATGTGGTCCAGCATCCTGAGCCCGGTCCAGTATCCCTCCTTGTTCTTGCCGTACTCGAAGAGGTGGTAGGACCAGTACTGTCCATGCTCGTCTTCATGAAGCATGTCGATGGGGCGGAACTTCTCCACCTTCACGTTTTCCCCCCGTCGCTTCGCGGCAGCTGAGGCGGCGCATCGTTTCCTGCGGTTGCGCTCCGCGTCCTGGATCTGTGCCCGCGACGCCGAGAAGAAGCCAACGTTGTGGATTATCGTCCCCGACACCGTGATCCCCTGGCCTTGTGACTTCTTCACGGGCACATGCTGGCCGTCCCGATACCACGCGCGCCTCTGGTCGTCGTTGGCTGNGCAGTATTTCAAGTGTAATTTTTCAAGGTTGAGTGCAGGCAAATTAATTTGCAGAGCGGGTGCGAAGTACGTGCAGGTTGGTCAAACTCCGACGGCGGAGGTTGCAGATTGGTGCCGCCCGAGAAACCCCGCCACGATAAATTAATAATAATGTCGTGAGATGAATTTACAGCAGTGTAGATTATTACAGACCTCACAGCCCCCAGGTTCGAGCACGGCATGCGTGAAGAAAAAAGAGGATCACACTTAATTTAGACTGTGTAGACTACTGCCCTCACATCGTTCATCTCCGCGGCTGCGCTAATCGTCTTCGCCACATCACTCACAACGCCGTCGAGGAGCTCGATGCTCTCAGCGCGAAACTCGTCCGCCGCTACCGCCAGCACCCGAGCTTTCATCTCCGCCCCTTTCGCACGCCTAATCTTCTTTGCAGCTTGAGATGTGCTGTACGTGCCCTTGTTCAGGTATCTCCTCTTCGCCTCTTCGGCCCACTCGGGTTCGAACTCTATCCACGCCCGCACGACTTCTTCCAGACTGCTTGCAGAGAGGTTGAATGCCCCAGGAACGGCCTCCTCTAGTTCCTGCCGAAGTGTCAACGCACGCATCCGCCGGGCCGCCCTCCCCAACTTTCCAAAGGGCCGCCCACTGTAGTCCCGTTGTCCACCCCAATTTGGATCTCGCGATCTTTGCGCGCCTGCGAGACCGGGTTCTTNGGATCTCGCGATCTTTGTGCGCCTGCGAGACCGGGTTCTTGTAGTGAACCAACGGCTGGCGCTGCGGCTCGAACTGCGGGTGCTGTTGAATCCCGCGGTGGTGCTCTCTGCATCGGGGCGTACGCTGAGTTGAGTTGAACGGCATCCCAGTCAGCAGCAGTCACCTCGTCTATGATGATTCCCTCCGCGACGGCGTCGCGGCCGCGTGGCTTCCCAGACGTGATCCAGCGGCTCCGCCATTTCAACTCAGTATTGTTGGCTCGCGACCTTGAGTGCAGCACTAACCGATACTTTCGTGGCTTCTGTCTCTCGATGCTGAGCTTGTCGCGCAGCGTGTATCCGTCGGGAACCAACTGCTGCAGGCAGGAGANCTCGTCTATGATGATTCCCTCCGCGACGGCGTCGCGGCCGCGTGGCTTCCCAGACGTGATCCAGCGGCTCCGCCATTTCAACTCAGTATTGTTGGCTCGCTAGCTTGAGTGCAGCACTAACCGATACTTTCGTGGCTTCTGTCTCTCGATGCTGAGCTTGACGCGCAGCGTGTAACCGACGGGAACCAACTGCTGCAGGCAGGAGACCCTCTCTTGGTCGAGTTCCATTTGGTTGCCGGTCTTCACAACAACATGTGTACACCTACCGGCGGCTGTGTGCGACGCGGCCCAAGCGGTGGTTCCGTCGCGATTTTTTTTAAATTTGAAACTTGGTTTATTTCTTTTTTTTTTTTTTTTTTTTCCAAATACAACACAACGAGTCCATTTCCGTCTGTCCCAGAGGTGATTTAGAACCAGTTTGTTTCAAGGATTCCAAAAATGTATATTTTTTTTCACGGCGGTAGTGGGGGCACGACCAATCGTAATTTACCGGTTCCGCCGCGTTTTTGGTGAAACGGTATATTCGGCATAACTCGTCACCAAGGTGTCTGTGAAAGCTAAAAGTGGGTTCATTCNTGTCCCAGAGGTGATTTAGAACCAGTTTGTTTCAAGGATTCCAAAAATGTATATTTTTTTTCACGGCGGTAGTGGGGGCACGACCAATCGTAATTTACCGGTTCCGCCGCGTTTTTGGTGAAACGGTATATTCGGCATAA